AATATTTTTAATATTTTAATTTTCTAAATATTTTAATATTTTTAATGTTTATACAGGCCTAAAAAATGAATTGACAGAAAAATTAATTGACATAAAATAATTGACATAGAAGTTATTTGAAAAAAAAAAATTATTTGAAAAAAAATTATTCAAAAAAATTACTTAAAAACAATTAATTGAAAAAAAAAATTATTTTTTTGTTTGAGTATTTTAAAAATAGTTTGGTTATGACTGTTGATCAAAAATACGGATATCGAGTTTTGAGTTGTGTGTTTGATTATCAATTGTAGGTTGAATTAAGTTTTGAAAACTCATCACCAAACAAATTTTCTTATTTCACATGTCACATCAAACTTTCAAAACTCAATTCTACATACAATTCAAAACTTAATTCAACACTTTATTCAAAAACCATAACCAAACAAATTTTCTACACTCAAATCATAATTCTAAAACACACAAACTCAAAATACAACTCATATTCTCAAATTATAGTTACAAAGCTCTACCAAACGGAGCCTTATTTTTCTTAAATTGTCTTTTGTTGTTTATTTTGTTCTTCATTAATCGGAGGTTTCATTTGTCTAAAATGTGTAATTAACGATCGGAAATAAGAACCTGCTATTCAAATAATCAACACTGTTTAGTCCAAAAACTAAACAGTGGACATTTGTAACATAAAATTTTGAAATGTATTTTGGTTCAACTCACATTCACTAGCTACATGTAGCTAGCCTTCAAAGGCTAGGCAAAATATATTTAATCCTTATGATAATTTCCTTCCACCTTTGTTGTTGATGTGGCATTCTATAAAGTTAATAGTATTTGGATAAATAGCCAAAACAAAGAGCATGGTGGGAGTAGAAATATAAAAAAGTTGATAGGCAAAATGAAATGTATACTTTATTGTAAGGTTTAGATAGATAAAATGCCTACTAGCATTGGAGATGCTCGGTAGGTTTATGTTTCTAGAAAATTTTATATTAAACCATCTCTAATGGTATGCTATATCATTTAGGATTGTTTTCATTTAGTATTGTGTAAGAAAAATATAAAAATGACATTTGCACAATTAAAATGGTATTGTCAAATTATAATATTTTGGGATTGTAACTTGCCAAGATATAGGGATCAAAATGACTAAAACTAAATATGCTCATGTTGGTGACCGTCCAGAATGCATCATTTGGAAAAGAATTACTTAATATTTGGACAAGCATTTTGTAACCATTTAAACATGACGATTACAACATGGCAACATTGAATAGATGTGTAAATATTCCCACATCTGTCCTCTAAATTTGTGGGCATGTTGTGATTAAGGTGAGTATAATGTCAATATTTAGAATCATACATTTATATATTTTCATACATTTTTACACACACACATATATATATGTATATTTACACATTTTGATACATTTTTTATGCAGATGAGATTTGAAGAGATCAATAATTATTATTTTAAAATTATTAGTTAATTGAGAATATTTTATTCAGTATAGAATAGTCTAGAATTAATACCTTGTTTGGTTTCACAAAATTGAGCAAATTTTTCAGAAAATGAGTTTTTTGTTATCCATGTTTTTTTGCTTTTAGTAAAAAAATTTAATATTTTAATAAATTTGTTTTTTTTTTTAATTTTTTAAATGCACCTAACCTAAATATACTTAAAAAGTATAATATTTATGGAATTTTTTTTTAAAAAAATTCAATACATTTTTGTATTCTTGTATATTTATTTTTCACAAATATTTTACTTTTTAGATGCATCTAAGTTATGTGTATCTAGAAAGTAAAAAAATTCACTAAAAACAAATATATACGAAAAAAAACAAAAAAAACTCAATTTTCACAAAATCAATCAAAACCAAACAAGGTCAGTTTCCTTTCTTAGGTTTCCTAAATTGTGTTTCCTATTTTATATTTTTCTTGTTCTATTAAGAATATCAGTTTCCTTTTTCTGTTTTCTTGATTCGCAAGAATTTGCCTATTTTGTAACTACCTAGCTTGCTTTACAAGTATTAGATTTGTATAAATAAGTTTGTAAGCATTAGGGTTATTCAGTTTATATTTGATTAATAAAACTGAGAGTTTTCTCAAAATAATTTGTTCTCAGAGAGAGTATCTCTAGTTCGGATTTGTTTGTAATTCAGTCTTGTTCTTTGCACATCTTTTCAATACCCTTTCATGCAACAATTTTTTATACGTATATCGAGATAACACTTTTCAATTATCGCAATTTATTCCAATTTAAAGACAAAGCCATAAAGTAGGCTGGTAGGATACCATAGCAGGACAAAGTGAAAGATGAGAAAAGGATCATGGGAGATTCCTACTCAAGCTTTTCTATGCTCTAATAAAACACTTTTGAGTTGCTAGGGCTAGCTTATCATGCATAAAGATATTGGTTTATATAAGCATCCATCATTTGTATAATTAAAACTCTAATTAGCTTACGTTGTGTTTGGATCATAGATTTTGGTAGAGATTTTGAAAGGAAAAGGGAAAAGGTATAGGTGAAATGTGAATGAAATACAACTACATTTCACCCTCATTTTTCCTTTCCCTTTCCAAATCCCTACCAAAAGCCATGATCCAAACTCAACCTTAATGGTTCAGGACTATTAGCTATGGTGGACCTTGTAGCTCAAAATGGCCATGATTGTCTGTATGGTTGTCATCGCCAGCAGAACAGAGGCAGAGACAACTGAGATGGATGACCATGGATTGCTAAAATATGTGCGCCTCAGAGTTGCCCAGTTGCTGCTATAGTAGGCCTCCACTTCTCTAAATTGCTTAGAGAGGTAACACCCCCTAATGTTGAAAACAACTTTCTCTCCCAATTTCCTGAAAAGATGAGCAACTTGTAGATCATTGTAGGAGAAATTTGTGATAATTCCATCGTCACAAAGGAATGTAACATCTCTGCCCGAGCTGATGAGACAACTCATGAAGGCAATGTATTCAGAAAAGTATGTAGAGGAACCTTGTGGGCTGCATTGTTCCAAGGCAACACAGTTGATAAGGATGGTGCTGGTGAAATCATTGATGGTTATTGGTGGGATTTCTAGCACCCCTTTGTGGAAATTTATGTCCAAGAAGCTACCATTAATTTTTTTTTGTGGCCTAAACTTGATCCCAGCAAGCCGGAGCCGTGTCACACATGGCATTGACTGATTGGACAATGGGTGATACTCTTGTGAACCATGTGATGACGTGCAGAGGTTGATTAAGTTCGGTGATATTCTTATTTGGATGTTGCTGGAGTTGCAGGATGAGATTGAGCAGGGGAGGTAGCTTGAGTGAAACAAGTCAAGTAGATGATTCTTGGCTAGGTCGTGGAATTTTATGTTCTTTAGTAATTCAAGGGACCTTGGCAGGGCAAGATTAAAGAACTTTAAGGCTTGCAAACTTAAGAGGTCACTGGTATTGCCAATGGAGAGATTGAATAACCTCTCAAGAACGAAGAAGGGAAGTTGGTTTTCAAGCTTCAGGAGGTCTCTAATGAGAATCTGAATTAACCATGTCTTTCTGAACAATAGGCTGTTGGCATTTACAGAGTCTTCACTCTCAGAAACTTGTTGGAAGAGCTCAATGATAAAGCAACCATCAAGCATCATCATCTCAATGAATTGCTCACTTGACATCTCAATGGGCTCTGTGTACCATGTTCTTGCCTCTCTCTCTAATTCTTTCATGGCCTGCCTTAGGTGCACATCATGCGGTTGATTTGTTCGGGAAAGCAAGGAATGAAGAAACTGCCATTTGTAACTTTCAAATTCTAAGACCCCATCTTTGCTGTGGTGATAAGGGCCTATTGACACAATTTCTCGCTCAATGTCCCTAGGACTGCTGATTTCTATGAGGCTTTGAGGGACTTTGCATATGAAAGCATTTTGTCTTTCTTTTAAGTTTTGGATTCCTTCTCTTCTAATTTCGTTCAGGCGCCTCTGCATGTGAATGATAGATGCAACGTTAGTGGATTCTTCTATTTCATTGGTAGAGCGAACTGGCAATTCTTGGTTGCTATCTGATTCCGCTATTGTAATGGCTTGATGCTCTCCATTCTCCATCTGTTTTTTTTCTTTTTCTTTTTTTTTTTGCTGTCTTTTTCCCTTTTTCCCTTCCACTATTTCACATATGCATGCTCAAGGTGGAGTGAGACCTTAGAAAGCTTGTTAAACAAAAGGTGTTTTCTTGGGGTTATCGTCACCTCGCCAGCTTTTACTGTGAAACTGAAGTGAAGGTTTCAAGGCAAAGAAAGAATACAACAAAAATCTCTTCATTTTCTGGAAATTTCCCAGAAATTAATTTTTATTTTTTATATTTTTAGAAGCATCCCAGAAATTACTTGAGATTAGGTTTCAACAACTGATGTCAAATATATAAAAATTTTTTTGGGTGCAAGGTCCTTGAAGTGGACTTACCCACCAGCTATTCACTATGAAACTGAGGAGAAAGGTTTCAAGGCAAAGTAAAAGTGGTGTTCGACAATAATAGCCACAAAAAACAAAATAGATTTTTTAGTCTAATAAGACAAAATATCACATTCAAATCATAATCATTGCAGTTTTTCTCTTACAAAAAAATCAAAAAAGCCAAAAGTCCTTCCCAAATCAGGCTTTTTAACTTCAGGCTAAAAAAGCCAAAAAGTCAAAAAGCCAATCCACTTTCCAAACGGAGGCTCTAGTTTAAAATTTGGGCTAGCTATGTCTAACTTGGAGGAGATTTCAACCCAAAATATATCTCAGTACATCCAATTTAAATTCATAAATTTTAATTTATATTATATCCTATTGTGGATTTATTAATAAGGACAACAAATATTTAACCGTAAAATAAATGTTTTTTGCTCATGGTACACCATAATAAATTATTTTTATTCAAATCTCTGTATTTTTTTCCCCAAGAGATCAAAGTTATTTCTTCTTTATCTTCTTCTTCTTCTTTCCTCCAAAACTTCAATCCACCCTACTAAAATTCACCATTATATGTACATACACTTAAAATGTATAATATTTGTAAAAAAATATAGAAAAAAATTTAATAAAACAGGTAAGCTAAGCAAGGTAGCAGAGCATTTCCCATTCAAGCATTTTATCAAACACATAATAATCAACAAATTGGAATAGCAAAACAGTAAGAGAAGAAAGAAATACAAAAAAGCAGAGGCAAGGCAATATGCTATGCAAACAAGTGATTAGTCATTTTAGCAATGTTCAAAGCAATTTTTTTTTTTAAATTTTTTTTTTTAACTTTTTGATTTATAGAATCAAACTGTATTGCTTCATGATTAGATGAGAATTTTGAGATATAAACAAAATTGAGCCTTTTTTTATTTTTTTATTTTTATTGGGTGCATTTGCGATTCAAATTAGGTCTTCCATCAACATATAAGCCATTATTTATCTCAGAAAGCAAATTAAACAACAGAGAAGGGAGAAAGGAAAACCCTAGAGGTACGATGTCATCGAGTTGAAGACAAAGGGGATCGAAAGATCGACCGAAGTGAAGGATGAGAAATTTGTCGATGGTGTCTCTGATTATGGAGTTTGCCTTTAGTTTTTTTAATTTGTTATTATATATTATTTGGGTTTACCTTTGGGGTAATTTGGGAAAAATAATAGGATGTATTGAGAGTTATATAAAATTTTAAATAATTGAATAAGGTGTACTCAGAAATTGAAAGTATTTGATTTTTTGGGTGTAAATAGAATCCCCTAACTTGGGTTCAACCTTCAACAGGCTTCTTATTGGTGGATCATAAATCTAATATGATCTTCTTGACTCCAAAGCTATATCAAAGAATGTAAACGAGGACCAATACTGCTTAGCCCAAACCCCAGTGGTTATGATTTTTTTTTTAATACATCTGGCATAGTGGTTGGGTAATACCCTTTGTGGTGTGTAATTTCAAATTTAACTCCTGTAGAGAGGATTTGAGATGGTGTCTATTTCTCTCTCATTATAGAGGTTGTATGTAATAGTAGTGAAGTGGTTGTTAGGCTTGTGTTTGGACTTTATATATTGGTAATTCGCTGTTAAGTAGGTTTTATTGACTTTCTATCTATTATGTGAGTTAGTAGCCTGTTTTAAGGGAAAAAAAATACTAACTAGCTAGAAGTGTAATAATCATATAGTTTGAGGAAATCATTAGAAAAGTAAACATATGCATATAGTGAATCTGGATGGAAAAACTTGTTGGCTGGACATACAACTTATTGAACCAAGTTCGACATTTTATGCTAAAAGAAAATGACCCGGCCATATGCACCATGTAGGCCACTCTTTAAAGAGATAAATCATTTCCCTCTAAGATGGCACAGCAAGGCTCTGTTTGGAAGTTTAGTTTTTTAAGTTTTTTATGAGGTAAAGAAGTTAATGTATTTGGAATTGTTTTTAGTTGAATGGATAATTATGAGGAAAAAAAATTAATTGTCTTGTATGACGTAATCCTTTGTTATTGGGGTTAAATTTTTGGCTTTTTTACTTTCTTTTTTCCTATGTGTGTGATTTTTTGGATTTTAGTCACTTTACAAAAAAACCCTTTTAAGTGTTGCTTGAATTTAAATGTCCACATTCAATTAGTATATTTTGATGCATAATTAACACTTATATACATGTTGGATGGCAAGATTAATATTTTTCAAAGATGTCATTTTTCTTTTTATATTTATTATGATGTGTATTTATAGTTTTCATGATTTAGTCATGGTTTAGGAGAGAGATTGAATTAGATTATGAGATTTAATTGAAACACTTTTTACACATTAGAAAATAAATTCACACAATTTAAATATTATAAATTAAATATTGTAGAGGCTAAAAATATAATATATATTTTTAATAGCATTTACACATTTCTTCCTGAATAATCCAAATTGGAGTTAACACAATTTAAGCACGAGTTGGGCTGAGGGACCAAATCAAAATACTTTTTATGCATTAAGGATACAATTTAATCAATAAAAACCAAAATGGCAAAACTTAAATACTTTTTAGTACTAAAAAGGTAATTAATCCTTTAATAATAATAATAATAATAAAAGAAGAAATACAAGAGTTTCACCAGAACCAACCAAACCAAAAGCAAAACAAAAGAAAAACCCACAAAATACATATAACTGGAAGACACATACAAACTTAACAACATATAACAGGCTCCAGCTTGCGGCTTGCACATGTAGTGCTTTCTTGAACATAAAACTTCAAGAATCTATACTTCTTGAACATAAAACTTCATTAGCTATCATCATCCTTGAACGAGCAAGAGAGTAAGCACCATGAAGATTATTGCAACGAACGAGAGAGATGTAACAACAATACAAACTCTAGCACTGAAAGCAAAAAATCAAAAGAACTAGATGTGAGTTTGCTGAAAAAATCGAAAGAATTAATGAAAAATTCACATGTAATAGAAAGTACGTGCGAGTCAAGAACAAAAATTGAGTGCAATAGTGGCACCCCAATAAAAAATCTAAAATGAAATTGGATAGACATCTCTTGAATACAACTCATCCAATCATGAATGAAAGATTTCAACCTTATCATAGATGATATTGGCACATGGTATCACTATTATACTAGCAAGTGTGTAAGCCATCATGGATGTGTGTATATGTACCCACATCTATGCTATATAATTTATTCCATTTTAAAGGAAAAGATGAGACACCCAAACAAAATAGGCAGACAAGTTAACATGGAAGGATAAGAAAAAGAAGAGAAAAGCGTCATAGGAGATTTCTTGGGACAACTCAAACTTAATAATATGCATAAAGATATATGGGTGAGATAAACATTCACCTTTTATACAGTTAATTCTGATCAGCGTAACAGTCCAGAAGCATTAGCTATGGTGGACCTTGTAGCTCAAAATGGCTGTGATTGTCTGTATCGCTGTTAGCGCCAGCAGAGCGGAGGCTGAGACGACTGAGATGGTTGACCACGGACTGCTAAAATATGTGCGCCTCAAAGTTGCCCAGTTGCTGCTATAGTAGGCCTCCACTTCTCTGAATTCGTTTTTCAGGTAACACTCTCTAATGTTGAACACAACATGCTCTCCCAATTTCTTGAAAAGATTAGCAACATGATTATCATTGTAGGAGAAATTTGAGATAATTCCGTCCTCACAAAGGAATGTAACGTCTCTACTTGAGTTGATGAGACAACTCATGAAGGCAATATATTCAGAAAAGCGTTTCGAGTAGGACCGTGGGTAGCATTGTTCGTAGGCAACACAGTTGATTAGGACAGTGCTGGTGAAATCATTGATGGTCATGGGTGGGATTTCTAGCACCCCTTTGTGGAAATTTATGTCCAAGAAATTATCACCTTTTTGTGGCCTAAACTTGACCCCAGCATGCCGGAGCCGTGTCACACATGGTATTGACTGATCAGATAATGGACGATACCTTGGTAATCCAGGTGATCTTCTTTTGCAGAGCTTGGTTAACTTGCTGAGGTATCTTAAGCAGGGGAGCAATCTTCTTGTGGACGGGTAGCTTGAGCCGTTGTAACTTAACCAGGCTTCCCTAAACCCGGCTTGCTGTATTTTTGGGACGCAGTAGCTCCTGTAAAACAAGTCAAGTAGATGACTGCTGTCTTCATAAAGGAAAACTCGCCGTTGTCCCTTGAATGATTCAAGGGACCTCGGCAAGGCAAGATTAAAAAACTCTAAGGCTTGCCAAACAAAGTGTTCACTTGTATTGCAATTGGAGAGACTGAATAACTTCAAAAGAACGAAGAGGGGAATTTGGTTTTCAAGCTTTAAGAGGTCTCTAATGAGAATCGGAATTAACCATGGCTTCATGAGCATTAGGCTATTGACATTCGCAGAATCTTCACTCCGGCAAACTTGTTGGAAGAGCTCAATGATAAAGCAACCATCAAGTAGCATCATCTCAATGAAATCATCACTTGACATCTGAATCAGCTCTGAGTATTGTGCTCTTGCATTGAGCTCTAATTCTTTCATGGCTAGCGTCATGAACCGTAAAGAACTCTTCGGTTGTTCCGTTCGAGAAAGTAGGGAATCAAGAAACTGCCATTTGTAACTTGGGAATTCAAGTACCTCATCTTTGTCGTGGTGATAAGGGCCTATCGACACCTTTTCTGGCTCAGTGGCCCTTCTACTGATTCTTGCAAGGTTTTGAGGGACTCTGCATATAGAAGTGGAGACCCTTTCCGTTGTGGTTTGAGCTCCTTCTCTTCTATTTTCTTCCAAGCGCCTCTGTATGAGAATGACACATGCATCGTCACTGGATTCCTCTATTTCATTGGTAGAGCGAACCGACGTTTCTATGTTGCTATTGGATTCCTCTATAGTAATGGCTTGATGCTCTCCATTCTCCATTTTTTTTTTCTCACTCTCTAGCTCTCTCTTCCCCTTCCACTATTTCACTTGTGTAAGCTGACCCTTTCTCATGTTCAGAGCTCAACCAGAAAAGCTGCTTAAATAAACCGAAGGGAAGGTGCTAGTCCTTGGAAAGTCTACTTACCGTTCACTAGAGGAAACCGAAGGGAAGGTTCATGGCAAATAAAGGAGTGCACAACTAGACAAATTTCTTCAGTTTTCGCAATCAAATTAAATTCCCTGGTCCTACCGGTTTCTTGTTTTGGTACATCGGAAAAGGAAAACATATTCAGACGCGGTTTCAATCAATTATGTTGCAATGAATCATTGTACCAGCAGCAGTAAGATGGATATCAAGAGGTTAGTTGGTGGTTTAGGAGAATAATGCTCCATACCATTTTTTGACACTAATCAAATTATCTCAATATCTTAATAAAAAAAATATTAAATTTTATAATTATAACTAATAATATTAAGTTGAAACACCATGTAACGATCTACCAACAATGCCGTATAATTTTTGAATAATGCTATATGCACTAATTAGTATATTAATTAGTGTATCAATTGATGATGTGACATAATTTAAAAGATTTTTAGTATTTGTAAAGTGATTAATGAGTGAGATTAATAATAATATCATAACTAGTGTTAATACATTAATTAGTGCATGTAACACTACCCATAATTTTTCCATGGATATCTCTGCCCGAAGCTTCAAAATTGAAGAATTGCCAATTGACTCATCCTCGCGTATAGAGGCGACTCCGCTTTAATCAAGGCTCGGTTTATTTTATTTTATTTTTATTTATTTTTTAAATTTTAGACTTTTAGATTTAACTTGATAAGAGGAATTAGGAAATTAAAAAAAAAAATTCAAAATTTTCAAAAGAAGTCCAAAAAAGACAAAATAAGTAAAAAAAAATAATGGACTTTTTTGGCTTCTTTTGGTTTTTTTAATTTTTAATTATTATTATTTTTTTACTTTTTAAATTTATCTACACAAAATGGATTAAAAAAGTAAAAAATTGACATAATTTTAAAGTAAAAATTAAAAAAAGAGATCACTTTTTTAGGTTTTTTCAAACACGGACAAAACATTTAAGGGAGAATTTTTTTTTAAGGTCTTTGATATTAAAATTTTATAAGATAAATAATATACAATATTTTCATAGTAGTTGTTTGTTGAGAGAGATCAGAACCCAGGAGTACGACTGTAGGGCTAGTCGTATTCGAAAGAGCACGAAAAAAGTCGAGCTACATATGCAGTGAGTTTTGTCCCAATGATTTGCCCCAATCTGTAAGAAGTGGCGCTTGCGTGGATCTCCAAGAAATTAACGAGATGTACGTAAACTGGGCTCAGACATCCGAACCATTAAAAATAAAAAAATAAAAATTTCATGTGTTTTTTTTTCTTTTTATGAACTTTTTTCTTATATTATTTTAGTTATATATATATTATATATTTTACTAGTTTACCTTTAATATTTTTTTATTTTTAATTTTATTTTGTTATTAAAAATATTTTTTTTTGAATTTTTTTTAACAAAATTTAATTTTTTAAATACATCTAAATTAGATGCATTAATATAATATATATAATTATTATATATATATATTTCCATGTGAAAAACTTTAATTGCATTAAGAACATGAACTTTCTCATATGAAATTACCGTACTAAAAAGTGGTTTATTTTTAAAATTTGAGAGAATATTCCTTGACACTGAAGAAATTATTCTTGGACAGTGGAAATCTTTCAAAATTATTATAAGGATTTGTTGAGGATGTGTTGTTGTCTTTTTTATTTTTTGACTTGTTTGATTATTTTAATTGGGAATTAAAAAATTTCGCATTTGAGATTAGATTTTTTTTGATTTTTTTAATTTTTGGAGAGAAAAAATAAAATGATTATGATTTGAATGTAACATTTTATCTTTATTAAACCTAAAAAAATTATTTATCTTTTTGACTATATTTTAATCAAAAAAAATTTCATTTAGCTTATGCCAAACAAAAGGCTAAACATTAGTTTTTTTTGGTGAGAAGTGTCCAATATATTCCTTTCGAAAATGCCGCTCGGCACCCCAGTAAACCCCACCCCACCGACCCTAGTGCCACTGGCACTGCGGGATTGGAAAGAAAAGAAAAAAAAAATTAAACCAATGAAAGCACGTCCACGTCACTAGGGTCGATCTCCACTGAGGGTGTGTGTAGTGCGTAGATTCCTTTTCCCCAATCTTTTCCCGTTCAGCCTTCTTTCAATCACGTCTTCTCTCTCTCTCTTCTCTCTCTCTCTCTCTCTTGATTTCTCCTTGCCAAGCCAACTTACACAACTTTAATAATAAGAAAAAAATTAGTAAGATATCATTTTTTCAACTTTGATAGTAGAAAAGAACCAATATATATATTTTTATTAGTTAAGATTTTTGGTGAAATTTCTTTGTGATTATATCAGAGAAATTTTAAAAAATTATTTAAAAAAATTCTCTATAATAAAATAAAAATTTCCTCATTGTGACAATTAATCTATTTTTGTATGTGCAAAAGTTCTTGCCTGTGTCGAATTTCTGTCTGTAAAAATGTTGAGGGACCC